AAGGGTTTGTGTGGCTGCAAATGAAGGCTATAAGGACCTTTAAATAGGTCTCAAACCCGGGCAATTAAGGCTTTCCTCGTCAGCACCGACTCATCGAGTCCATTCATTAAACTCGATATCTAAATGCAACCCTACTCGACGAGTTGAAGCACAAAATCATCGAGTCCTTCCACTTAACTCAAAATAAATAATTGAAATAGCGTACCCAAAAATCCGAATGTTACATCTTCATCTTCATCTGGTTCCCAGATCTTCATATTATTAAGATGGTAATGGTGATATTCAATTTTTCTAAAAATAAGAATGATGAAGATGGGTTTTGTAGAGAGAGAGAGAGAGAGAGAGAGAGTACCGGTAGGGGTGGAGTGGGTGTTTATCTTTTTTGTTTTTTATTTTTATTTTATAAATTATTAAATAAAATAAGCAAAGAAAATACAAAAGTGAAATTAAAAGGGTAAATCGGTAATTTCAAATTTTTTTGAACCAAAAACTCAGAAAAACATTGATTTGAACATTCTGTGCAAACTGAAAACTTTTTGGATCCATCCAAAGTTTTTTGTAAACACAATGACAAAATTTGCAGTTTTGTTTTTTTTTTTTATATTAAATGTTTTTATATTATATGTATTTGTGTTTTTTATATTATATATATAAACACGTTTTAAAAAAATATTTATAAATGCTTATTTTTATAATTCTATCCATATTTTGTGTTTTTTGATTGCTAAATGTTCACTATCATGGATCGGGTTATCACCAAAATTGACCAATTGAGTTATTTGCTAACAAATCCAGTTTGACCTCCTCAAAGCTCTGAATGTAAACAAATCCAGTTTGGCCTCCTCAAAGCTCGGAAGTTATTAGCTTTACTAGAGTCCCCTGCATCTCTAATATTAAAAGTTAAAAAATTAATTTGGGAACAATAATAACACACAAAAGCCTTCAATTGAAATTCCATGATGATTGATGACGATGGTTTTGATTAGCTTCACAGTGGTAGAATTAACTAAACTAACGGGACTATCACTTTGAGGCTTGTTTGATTTTGAGTTACCTACGTGTGTTCTTTTTGAGATAGCAAATGAGAGGCTTTGCGCAATTTTCTAACACAATATATAGTAAATTACATAAATAGTCCTTATGGTTTGAGTTAATTTGCATATTTGGTCATAACATATTTTTTTTAATTTGAAAAGTCCCTACTATTTGTTTTTTTTTTTGTGCGCTTGGTTTCTATCTTACCTCAAAAGACTATTTTTCTCTTGATTTTTTAATTTATATAAATAAACACATCTCCAATCCACCTCCACTCACCTTACTTTACCTTACCTATCTTATCTTATTTAAATAAATTAAAAAATCAAATATAAAATAATATTTTAGTTAAAACAGAGACCAAACAAGCAATAAAAACAAACAGTAGAAGACTTTCAAAAAAAAAAAAAAAAAAGAAGCCAAGTTAGATATTAAATGCGCAAATTAACTCAATTCATAAGGGCCATTCGTCTAATTTACTCCCATGTATGAGCTATCCTACTAGGGGTGTTCGCGGTGCGGTTTCGAGTCGAAACCACAAACCACACCGCATGTGCGGTTTGAAATTTTAGAAAACCGCAAACCGCATCGCGAAGGTTCTAAACTGCGTTATGTGGTGCGGTTTGGTGCGGGCGGTTTGTACGGTTTTTTTGTGGTTTATGCGGTTTGAAAAAGTATATGTATTTTTAATATTATGTACATAAAACTTATACATAAATATATTAGTTATAGAATCAAGATAAGTTGGTTTTGCCAATGTTTTAACAATATTAGTCTTTGTTACATTAGACAATCAGATAAATAATCTATCACAAATTTGTTTACAAAAATTGAAATTGGTGATATCAAAATTCATTAGTAATAAAACAAAATTTGTATCTTCTGTGTAATTTTTATGTGTTTGTATTATATATATATATACGCGGTGCGGTTTGAACCGCATTGTTATAATTGGAAACCACAAACCGCACCGCATAGTGCGGTTTAACAAAATTTCAAACCGCAAACCGCACCATACTAGTTCTAAACCGCATTAGGCGGTGCGGTTTGGTGCGGTGTCGGCGGTTTATACGGTTTGTGCGATTTGGTGCACATCCCTAATCCTAGCCTCTTAATTTGTTTCCATCAATATTAAGGAGTCTAACCGTCTAAATTCTTTTGGCCCATTAAGGTTAGGGTCATCAATAGTTTTGCTATTGTTACTAGCCCTTTTCCATTTATAGGCCCACATCCATTAAATCTAGTAGTTTCACCAACTTTGTTATGTTTTTTGTGGGCATGTGGTTTAACTTTTAAGTGTCATAATTTAAAGTTGGCTATGGAACTTGAAAGTCGTTATGGATGCTATGGCTGTGTCTACAGATAAGCTAGTTAATTCATATGTTATTTCAAATAACTTATCAAAAAACTAAATTATAAAACAGTTTATAAGTTACAATAAACTAATTTAATAGTATTGCTAAATCCTAAATTGCATTAAACTAAAAAAAAAAAAAAAAAAAAAGTTGGCTTATGTTTGTCAAGAACATGTGGTATTCAAAGGTGGATTCATAATAATTTATTCCCTGGTATCGAGACAAACCTTCCTGACCAACGGTGTATGGCTGAATTCATTGTTGATATCCCCAAGCTTTCGATCTTTTTTCTAGCCTTTTACCTCATCTTCTGTTTCATAGTATTTGCGATTTATTGTCGAAAATGTTAGATACACCGTTGTGCCTCCAAATACATATTTTTCTCATATAACAAAAATTTGTCCATAACAAGAAGATGAACAACTTGGAATGAACTCAAAGTTGATATTTACGGATCGACTAGGGGGGCGGAGGAACCATGTAATAGATAAAATACATATTTCCATTTTTTTTGTGTATACAAAACAAATTAACAAAATTACAAATAATCAAATATCTACCCTTCAATAATTGAACCAAAGTTCGTTTTGACTAGTTTTATTAAAAATATATATATATAAAGTAAATTATAATAATGATCATACATATCAAATCATTTTGCATTAGTTGACTGACTAAATTAAAAACATAACCAAAGCTAAAGAATATGCTATTCAAATATATAAAAGATATAAAGATAACTTGATTTTTTTTACATGTACTTAATTATATCTATGTTTTATTAGTTTTTGGTCATTTGTTCATGGCGGCTCTATTTTATTTTTATTTTTGGATTCTTCGTGTTAGTGTGTTTGATTTTTTTTTTTTTTTTTTTTTTTAATCATTATACATTATACATGGAAATTTGTCACGAACTAATAATTTAAATTATTTAAATGTATAATGCAATTTTGTCAAGATCGGGATTCAACGTAGGATCGTTTTTTAGTTTGCAAGATCGAGATCGTAAGATCGGGATCCCAAGATCCCACAAAATAAAAAATAATTTTAATTTGTAATTTTAAAACATGAAAATCTTTCAAATATTCAATTTTTCATTCAAACGTTATAAAAATTTCAAAATATTAGTTATAAATCGTAATACAAAATGATAGACAATAAATTGGTAAAAGGTAAAACTCACAAAGTGATAAAAAAATCATATTCAAAAAATAAATAAATAAATAAAATAAAGGGAAGGTAGGATCAGATTGGATCCCGATCCTACGATTTTACGATCCTACCTGCGATCATACCCCAAATACAATCCGTTTACGATCTGGCTCGTACTCTATACCTAGGATTGTAGGATCGTGCGATCCTACAATCAGGATCGTTATTTTGACAACCATGATATAAAGTACAACAACAAAAATCAAGTGTACATAACTTTCTTGTTTTCAATTCATAATTAAACTACAGGTCTGATTGGTAACATAACCACTATAACATTCTTTACTTTTTTTAGTCTAGCAAGTAAAATCGAAAAAAAGATATGACTAACAAAGAGGAAGATGGTGACGCAGTTGGAATGCTTTCGCCTTTAATAGGGCCATACTTTCTAAATAGAGATTATAGTTTTAAAGACTAATGCTTTATGAGTTAAGAGTGATAAATGTGATATTTAGAAATGATGGTCAAGTTAGTATTTTTATGCAATGAAGCCACTTCAATGTGCCTTCGAGAAATATTTTTCGCTTGACTTTGCAATTTCAATATGAAAGTCTTGATATTCATTTTTTGCTCGAACAAGATGAGTGATGATCGATTTACTAGGTTTTTTGGAGGATATATTGGATATTGTATGTTCTAGCAAAATTGACTATGTTGGCGTAGGAGAATGCATTCAAATAAAGTGTCTACTAAAGTTACCTTGGATCAAAAGAGGATCCAAGAGGATTGAGGTTGACGTTTGTCATGACCTATTTGTGATATCTAAAACAAGACAATTGACCAATGTTTTATTCTCTTGCCCCATCACTTATTCCAATTGGACACAAATTGCTCGTTGGTTGGATATTGACTTTTTTCCTTAAGAAAGTTGACTTGGATTATACGGATCAATCAATTGAATGTTAATGTGAATCAAAAGAAGTATTTTGATCCAGTTTGTGTCACGGTTTTGTGAATTATTTGTAATTTTCGAAATATAATTAATTTTGGAACGTTCAAACCCTAGAAAATTTTATATTTATAGAATTGTTTCAAAGTTTTTATTTTGTTTTTAACATAAACATTAAAGTAAAATTAAACTGAATTGGTTGGTTACATAATCCTATTAGTAGTTATTGTAAATTCTTAATCTTATAAGGCTGAAGGGAGTGGTGCCACAGGACCGCACTCCCTCCTTTGACACATAGGAGCCATATCATTTTTACCACACTGAGGGAGTGAAAACCATGGTAGAGAAAGAGAGAGGTGAGAGAAAGGAGAAGAGATAGAAAAACACATAAATAAAGAGAGAGAAGAAAGAGGATGCAACAATTTCTAGCTGTACTGTAGCTAAAACTGCAGGAACCCACACCCAGGGGGCGGTGTTTGCGGTCCAGGTGGTAATGGTGCGGCTTAGAACCGCAGTCTACTCCTTCAAGCCTAACATCTTGATAGTTAATATAAAATCTTCATCTACCGAAAAAAAGTAAAATAAGTAAAAAGTTAAATGTGAACACAAAAATAGTACAAGGACCATTTATGCATATAACTCAAACTTTTGCCGCAGACATTTGTTCTTTTTAAATTCCAACCAGTAACGAGAAACCAAAACGAAATAAAGATCACAACTCTCTCGATAATCTCTGATTGTTCTTCACAAACCGACATTTAAATTAGCCCTCTAAAGCACCACCATGATGAAGGCATGGCAGTATCACGAATATGGCAGCGTCGAAGTCATGAAATTCGCTACTGATGTAGCGATTCCTGAAATCAATAATGATCAGGTATTGGTTAAGGTTGTTGCTGCTGCTCTTAACCCAGTCGATTACAGAAGGAGGCTTGGGCAGATGAAGGCCGCCGATCCGCCTCTTCCGGTAAGTTTTCCGGCGATAATTTCTGGTTTCAATTGTCTGTGAGTTTTCAGTCTCGTGATTGAATTTTGGGATTGAAGTTCTTTTTGCTTTAATCAGTTATACATGTTTTAGGTCAAGTAATTTTGGGATTTAGGTTGTAACAATTGAAGACGTTTATTAATCCTGTTTTCTCCACTTCAAAAACAAGCTTCTCATTTCCACTTAAAGCAGCTAATTTCGAATCATTTTATTTGAATCGATCATTTTTACGCGAGAGTTTTCGATCAATTCTGTTTACGCTAATGAAATTTGCTTTTAATAACAGGTTATTCCAGGATTAGATGTCGCAGGGGTAGTTGTGAAAGTTGGAAGCGAGGTAAAAGGACTGAAAGAAGGAGACGAAGTATATGGAGATGTAAACGAAAAAGCTCTGGATAAACCTACAAAGTTAGGAACTTTAGCAGAATACGTTGCTGTTGAGGAGAAATTGCTGGCTTTGAAACCTAAAAACTTGGATTTTGTTGAAGCTGCTGCTCTTCCTCTTGCAATTGAGACTGCATATGAAGGTCTAGAAAGGGCCAATTTCAAAGAAGGTCAATCAATCCTTGTTCTTAATGGTGCTGGTGGTGTTGGATCCTTCATAATTCAGGTATGTAACATGTTCTTCACAAAATTGCACATTCTTTTACCTTACCCTGTACGTATATGATGGAAATCTTCTTTGTTATAGATTGCAAAACATGTGTTTGGGGCTTCGAAAGTAGCAGCGACATCTAGTACTAAAAAACTTGAGTTACTTAAGAGTCTTGGCGCTGATATTGCCATCGATTACACCAAAGAGAAATTCGAAGAACTCCCAGATAAATACGATGTTGTCTACGATGCAATAGGTAAGCATTATATTGCCTAGAATTTACATTTTGATCCGATAACTTTTTTAATTTGTATCCCAAAAGGTTTTATTTTAAGTTTTGTACTTTTTTTTTAAATGTTTTTGGTGGTTGTTTCGATTTAAATGACTATATATTTGTGACAAAAATAGCAAAAATCAGTTATACTCAATTACCAAAAATAGTCATTTTATTTAGAATAATGAAAAAAATAGTTATTTTTTTAGAACATGGACCATAAACGCCTAAACGGTACAAGAAGTCAAAAGTACCAAAATTTTAAGAAAAAACTATTTGAGACCAAAATTTGAAAACTATGCTAAACCCAGGGACCAAAAATGTAATTTTCTTTTACGAAAAAAGGGTTCTACTCCTAAAAACTCTAAAAGTTTTAATTCGATTGTGGTTTGGACTCTAATAACCACCGCAACTTATTTACATCTCACATAATATATTTTTTTTTGGCAAATAACTACTTTGGGACTCTAGATCATCTTACGTTTCTGAAAAAAGAAAAACGCTTTTGTAGATAAAAGTTGTGTGTATATATTTTTATCTGATATCCATCGATGATATAAATGTTATAGGGCAACCGGAGGAAGCCGTGAAAGCAGTTAAGGAAGGTGGTTGTGCGGTGTCCATAACCGATTTCGAAAAGCCTATTCCACCACCCGGGTTCGGCTTTGTGCTCACATCTAGTGGATCCATGTTAACAAAACTAAACCCTTACCTAGAAAGCGGAAAGGTGAAGCCATTGCTCGACCCAAGAACTCCTTTCCCTTTCGAAAAGGTTAAGGAGGCTTTCACTTACCTTGAGAGCCATAGGGCCACAGGAAAGATAGTTATTTACCCGATATCATGAATCTAGAATGCTAAGACTTTGTTTCGTTTCACATAACATCAATAAATAGTTCGAAGGTTATATTTCGTTTTAATTAATGTCAATTTCAATAAATAATTCTAAGATTACGTTTCATTTTACATGACATCAATAAATCTAGTGGTTTTAAATTTAAGTTCTATTTGATTTTGGTGGATGCTATATTATGTTACACATGTTTGTGTTTATTTATAGGTAACACTTGTATGTTGTGTAACGTCCCAAAGTTACAGAGTAAAATTTTTATTTTTAAAACAATAAGTCATACAAATAAGTTGTTCCAAAAGCAATCAAAGTGATTACATCATGTAAACATCATAGTAAATATCATAAGTAGTCCGCGGAAACTTTGGGGGATGCAGTGCAGTTACGTCGGACCCTACCCTTTAGAGAACCGGAAGTAGCTGAAACCATAAACATAAAATTGTAAGCACAAATATTAGTGAGTTTTCCAAAATACCACATACCCTACATACAATAGAGATTGATATGTGTCATTCATAGTCTTACAATTGTCGTTATGCCATGAGCTGTAGCATGGTCTGTCATTGCCATGCCAAGGGCCAAAACCCGGGTCTTACAAATAAGTGCCAAGAGCCACATCCTGTTCTTCCATGAGAGTATCACAAAGATAACTAGCATCATACATATGCCAAGGTCCAAATCCAGGTCTTGCATACAATGTGTCCGGAGTCATATCCAGGTCTTTCATACAATTAACAGGTGCCGCCACCTAGTCTCTCTACATAACATAATCCAATGGGCCGACATTGGTGCATTCGACCCATAAGTACTGTAACACCAGATATTTCCTTTTCAACCCTTAGTATTTTAAGTTATTGCATTTTTTCCCATTACGCTTGGCATACCACAATGTACGTCGGGCGTAGGTTAACATGAAAGTCGTGGCGAAGGAGGAGTACGTTGGGTGTATATGTGGATATAATGGGCATTAGTCCCTAAACCCTAAATTCTTAGGGTTGTGTCTCCTATTTAAACATCTTAATCCCCTTGTACCTCCTTATCACCAGCCCCCATTCCTCTAAACCCTAAAATCGAAAACCTAGCTCCTATGAGTGAAATTTGGAGCATGAGAGTGATCGATCTTTGAGTGTTATTGATAATGAAGGAAGATCATTCAAGAAGTGGTGATGCATTCAAGCCTTTAGATCCAAAATCTACATCTCTTTGTTCATCTTTTGAAGGTATAAAATGTTGGATTAGGTATCTAAGCCCATAACTATAATTGGTATAAACTTGAATTGATAGTAGCACAATCCTTTTTGGTTGTCCTCAAACATAACAATTAGACATGATGATTTTTTGGAGAGGGGGGTTGATTTATTATTTGATTAATAAATTGAAATAAATAATTTATTAATTTATTGTGAGAATAATATATTAAATAGAAATAGTAATATTTAACCAATAATTAATTAGAAATTAATTTGAATTAATTTTGGGATTAATGAAATTAATTAAAAGTTCAAGTGTAACACACATAAAAATCAAACCAATTTAAAACGTTTTCAAACATCCAAAAGCCATTAGTTATTACAAAATGTTTTCAAAATAGTTTCATATCAGAGTATCCCAGAAACCATTAGTCCAAAATGCAAGGATGTGTATGGTCACGCCTTCGCCTTGCCGTGATATCTGAAGCACCTGAAACAATAAACTGAACCGTAAGCACAAAGCTTAGTTTGTTCCCCCAAAATACCCACACATACAACAATTCACATATAATCACAAACAACATACTCTGGGTCAAATCAACCATCGAGTTGGAATACCCCATACCCTCAACCATCGGGTTGGAATGCCAAAATACTATAAGTCCAATCAACCATCAGGTTGGAATACCCTAGGCCCTCAACCATCGGGTTGGAATGCCAACATACTATGGGTCCAATCAACCATTGGGTTGGAATACCACGGGCCCTCAACCATCGGGTTGGAATGCCAAAATACTATGGGTCCAATCAACCATCAGGTTGGAATACCCCAAACCCTCAATCATCGGGTTGGAATGCCAAAATACTATGGGTCCAATCAACCATTGCGTTGGAATACCTGTTGGATTAGTGTCTAAGTCCATAACTATTTTGGTATGTACTTGACCCGATGGTGCATGATTCTTTTGGGTTGCCTTCACCAAAGCAACTTGATAGGATGAATTATGGAGAGAAAGGATTAATTATGATTTATTAATATATTATGAGAATAATGTATTAAAGGAGAAATCATATTGTTTAATTAATATTAGTCAAGAATTAATAAGAATTAACTTTGTGGTTAAAAGACATTAATTAAACTTAAGGGACTAGAATTGTCAATTGTGTGATAGTTGAATATTGGGCTAATGGACTCCATATTAGAGGGGTGGAAGAATTCTATGGGGATACCCATTAGAAATCGTCCTAGGCCTTTAAGGAGGGAGTCCATGGGTTGCTTAGGGCCTAAGCATCCAAATTAGGGTTTCCTTGTTAGATAACCCTAATAGCCTCACTATTTAAAGGATCCTCGAGACTCAAAAACGTGGTGAACTTATTCCTTAGGGTTTCCACACGTTTTGGGCAGCCTCCCCTCTCCTTATTCTTCATCTTCTTGCTCTTGGTGTTTGTGAGCCATTAGAGGAGTGACACTTATGACTCTAAGCTTTCTAAAGCCATTACAAGGAGGATTTGAGATTGTTATTGCTACATAACAGTCAAGGTAAGATCTAAACCTCTTTCTTATGTTAATATGATTAATTGCATGCTAGAACTACGGTTTACAATCTTGGATGAATTGCATGTACAATAGAGAAACCTAGATCCAAGCATTAGGGTTTGCATGAGCATATAGGATGTTCTTATGGCTAAAACCCATCAGTGGTATCAGAGCCTTGATTGGTTTCTATTGTATTGATGCCTAGCATATTCATTCTTGTTGCAAAATCGATTTTTTGGCTCCCTAACTGTTGAACTCGGCGAGTTCCAATGTGGACTCGGCGAGTTGGCTCCAACTCGGCGAGTCCATAGAGGAACTCGGCGAGTTCGAGCGTCAGAAGGAGGAAATTTCGGGATTTCTTGCTGTTTTTCTCATGGATACTTTCCTTAACTGTTTTGGGTCATTAAAATCCGATTTTAAACATATTTTTGAGTATATCCTTGATTAAACAAAAGATAATTACCAATTGATTAGATAATAACTTCCTTACATGATTATTTGTATTAATTGGGTAACTTATCTTGTAAGAAATTGATTTTAGGTCAAATTTAGATAATCATTAATTTAATTGTTTAATTTAAATTATTTGCTATTTGATCATTTATGTTTTGAAAAGTTTCAAACTTGCCCTCAAGTCTTGGAATTTAAATTTTTGATTAAAAGGTTTGATTTTGAAATATTTAAATTCTAAACCCTAATGTTTTGAAATGTTTCAAAACTTGCCCTCAAGTTTTGCCCTCAAACTTGCCCTCAAGTCTAGAACCCTAGTATTGTTTTGAAAAGTTCAAATCTCACCCTTATGGTTTTATTAATTAATCAAGGTGTATAATTAAAGGAGATTTAATAAATCCATAAAGTTTAGGTTCACATTTAGTTAAATTAAAAGAGTAATTTATTAAATTAGACCACCTAGTATTTTAAAAGTGTAAAATACACCCTATACTATATATAACATTAAAAGTCTAACATTATATATATGTATGAGTAAAAGTCAGTCTTACCGTTAGTAGGCCTCATTCACGAAGCTGGTCTATAAGGGGTGTTTAAGGAAATTGCCTATAAAATGGCGGTTGAATGGGTATCCACTCTTACCCACCGCACTCTTGACTAGTGGAGGGTCGTTAGCCGAACGTGTAGGATAGGACAGAAACCTTCCATTATAAGTATAGTGAAGTACAAAAGTAACTAAATGCTTTTACAAAATTCCCAATCTTAGTTACTTTAGGCAAAAGTGAATTGATGCAATTCCATGAAATTACACTTTGTGCAATTGCAAAGACGTTAGTGAAGCGTGTGTGGTTAACCGGCACACTAAATGGTTCTAAGCAAAGGGTGACTCAATGTTTGTCATAGTTCGGTGGAGCGTGTGTGGTTAACCGGCACATCGAATAGATGACTATAACATGTGTGGGCACCATGTAAGTTTGCATGGTTATTCACACCCGATTTGTGATCCTCGGTATCCCAGTCACAAACTAGAGGGGCATATCAAGATTTAAACATGCCATTGAAAAGTTCAATGAATCTCAAAAGATCTAGGAGTTTTCAATAGATTTAAAACTTAATCGGTTTTTCGTTTTTCATGGTGGAAAATTGGTGAATCGTCATTCACTTACCTTCAAATGTTCTGCAATTTGGGTTATGGCATCCCTCTCCCAAGTTGTGGAATATTGTGTTGGGTCCTAGCCTTAGTATATCATTTGGGTGATTTACTAAGGACTCAATAAATCAACTAACTTGAATTTATTTTCTCCCGTTTTGTAGATGTCAAAGTATGACACTCATGGTCTTCCCAAATTTCAAGGAAAAGGTGTTCCTGTTGAAAATAAGTTGTTTCGCTATTCAAGTGAAGAATCAAGGTGGACTAGTTTGATTTCACTTCCTCTTCCTCCTCCCGTTGTTCTCCCTAACCCAAAAGATCGAAAAATTGAAAGGTTCAATGCCACTAAAGCCCTATTGGCAATGAAAACGAAGATGGTAAGCCCGTGTGTGCCCACGTTCTAGGAATGAAATCACACATCGATAGGTTGATTATGTTGGGTGCGTCATTCCCTGATAAGTTGGCTGTAGACTGGGTTCTGCAGTCACTCCCTGAATCATATAATGAGTTCAAAAGAAACTATTATATGATGGATCATGACGCAAACCTCATTGAACTAACTTACATGCTCATTGCTGCTGAATCAGAAATGATTTGGCAAAGCAATGGAGCATATTTGTTGGGAAAGTCAACCAACCATGCTTCCGAGGACGTTATAGGAGAACCTGCTGCCAAGTGAAAGGGCATTGGATACGAGTCTACCTTAAGAGCCTGAAGAATCCAGAAGATGGGAGAGTCAAAGAGTATGGATGTGCTTCAGGTAAAATCCACTATCTAACTCCATTAAGTTCCTATTCATTGATTCTTAATACATATTGTGATAAGATTGTATTTGAATGTTTTACAGGATCAATGAAAAGAGAGGAAGAATGATGGAAAAGCAAGATGAGTCTAATCACGAAGAGATGGATCTCGATCA